CTTAGGCGCCTCAGTTTATTTTTGCACCTTCTTCATTTTTGCTCCAAATTTGATCATTTTTTTTGCTCCAAATTTGATCAATTTTTGCTCCAAATTTGATCATTTTTCACTCACTTTATCATTTTTCATTCATTTGATTATTTCTTAAAAGAAAAACACACAAATACCTTTCATTAAAGCGTAATATCTCAAAAGTAGGTATAAAAATACGTACAAAAAGACTATATATTTTAGGTATATCAACTGCTATGACCCAAGGATCGATGCACGAGGTGTAAATAAGATAGGTGAACACCCATGTAAAAGGCAAGTCAATTTTTGAAGAAAGACTACCAACTCGAGGGTTGAAAAGCGAGATGTAAAAGAGATGGGTGAAAAACCCATGAAAAAGGTATGTCAATGTTCGAGGAAGGACTGTCAGGCTCGTGTGTTGACGGGTGAGGCGCAAAAGGGATGGATGAAAGCCCATGGAAAAGGAAAATCAATTTTTGAGGAAGGACTATTGGTCCCGAGGATCGACACACGAGGCGTAAAAGAGATGGGTGAAAAACCATGCAAAAGTCAAGTCAACTTCTGAGAAAGAACTGTCAGATGTATGGGAACCCACAAGAAGTGGTGGAGCAGCCTCCTAAAAGAGGGTTCATCTAGACCCTGAAGGTTGACATATAAACTGTAATGTAAGTGGATGGAAACCCCCACAGAGGGCATGTGTAATAACCCATGAAAAAAGCAAATCACTTTTTTTGCAGGAACATACTGCAAGGACCCAAAGGTCAATGCATTTAGCATAAAAGTGTATGGGGAATAACCCATAAAAAGGCAAGCCAGTCTTTTGAAGGAAGGGCCATTTTACTAGGAGGCCAATACATTTAGCTTAAAAATGGTATAGGGAATAACCCATAAGAAGGCTAGCTATTCTTTCGAATGAAAGGTTGCCAGACCTGGAGGTCAACGTAGTTAGCATAAAAGGGTATGTGTAATAACCCATAAAAAGACGAACCATTCTTCCAAGTGAAGGGCTGTCAGATCTGAAGGTCAACACATTTAGTATAAAAGGGTATAAATAATAGCCCATAAGAAGGAAAACAATTCTTTAGAAGGAATGGCCGCTAGACCCGGAGGGGTAATATCCCATAAAAGGCAAGCCATGCTCCCGAAGGAAGGGCCGCCGGACCCGAAGGTCAAGGCAGTTAGCGTAAAAGAGTTTGGATAATAACCTATAAGAAGGGCAAGTCATTCTTCTAAAGGAAGGGCCGCCAGACTTAGAGGTAAATGCGTTAAGTGAAAAAAAGGGTATGTGGAATAACCTATAAGGAGGTAAGCTACTCTTCCAAAGGAAGGGCAGCAAGACCAAGAGGTTAACACATTATGCAGGAAAAAGGGTATAGGGAATAACCCATAATAAGGCAAACCATTCTTTCAAAGGAAGGGCCGCCAGACCCAAAGGTCAATGCATTTAGCGTAAGAGGTTATGGGTAATAACCCATAAAGAGGCATGTCATTCTTTCGAATGAGGGGCCGCCGGATCCAAAGGTCAATGCATTTAACATAAAAGATATGAGGAAAATCCCATAAGAAGGCAAACCATTCTTTTGAAGGAGGGCCCATTGGACTCGAAGGTCAATGCAATTAGCATAAAAGGGTATGTGTAAGCCATAAGGAGGCAAGCTAATCTTCTAAAGGAAGGGTCACCAGACTTTAAGGTCAATGCATTTAACATGAAAGATATGAGGAACATCTCATTAGAAGGCAAGCCATTTTTTTGAAGAATGAATTGCTGGACACAGAGGTCATCACGTAGCGCGTAAAGAATGTGGGGGAAATCCTACTCCAAAGGTGAGTCATCTTCAAGAGGAAGGATCACCACTACCCGAGGACCGATGCATACTGCGTAAAACATGTGGGGGTAATATTTCACAAAGCAGGCTTGCCTCTTCTGAAGGAAGTGCCACCTTGAACCTTAGGTTAATGCACAAAGTGCAATAGAAAGCGGGTAAGGTTCCATGAAGAAGGCTAGCCGCTTCCAAAAGAAGGGCCTCTTAGACCTAAAGATCGACACATATAGCATAAAAAGGTATGGGTAATTACCCATAAGAAGATAAGCCATTCTTAAAAAAGAAGGCTTGTCGGACCCAGAGGTCAATACATATTGCTCAAAGCATGCGGTGGATATCCCATAGAAAAAGCTAGCCACTTTTGAGGGAAGGGCCGCCAAAGACCCGAAGGTCATTGCATATTGCTGAATGTGGGAGAAATCCTAAGGATCTGAAGGTCAACGTTCAAAGCACAACAGAAAGTAGGGGAAGTCCCATGAAGAAAGCTAGTCGCTTCCAAAGGAAGAGCCGCCATGACCCAGAGGTCTATGCATAATGCGTAATACCAGGTCAGTGATTACCCCACATAGTAGGCTAGCCACTTTCGACGGAAGGGCTTTCTAGACCCGAAGGTCGACGTGCAATGCATAAAACTAGGTGGGTGAATACCCCGACGAATAAGGCTTATCCACCTTTGAAGGAAGGTCGCATTGACTCGAAGGTTGACGCATAAAGTGTAAAACAAGGTGGGTGAATACCCCACAAAGATGGCTAGCCACTTCCCACTTCCAAAGGAAGTGCTACTACGACATGAGAGTCGATGTGCAAAGCCTAGAAAAAAAATGACTTTAAGGCGACTACAGGTGTATCAACCATCTCTACGTCGCTTAGGAATTCTCTGAATCATAATACCTTAGGGATCTTGTTAAGAGAATCAACATTTCTATTACTAGAAGTGCTTTATGCTACTACTTCCAATTTTCTGCTCACCTCAGGTTTCTTTTTAAGAGTATTGGCCAGTCTTTATTTCTGAAGTCTTTTACACTTTTTTTTGAAAATTTCTATATTTGGTGAGTATTTTCTTTTTCTTTGGAATGGTTATACTTTCTTTCTTTTAAATGAAAACCCTCCACTGATATGGGTCGTTGGGTCATTTTTTCAGTCAGAGAGTTTGTTAAGCACATTTCACGACATGAGAGCTCTCCATGATCAGAATGGACCACATAAGCCTCAATTATCATCTGGCTTGCCTCTAGAATGGGGAATCCTGACAAATTAGATGTAGTCACTATTGGGCTCGACCAGGATGGGGTGGCCCTAATCCGGAGACGACGTGCATCTGGTAACGTCCTAGTGTCAATTATCATCTGGCTTGCCTCTAGAATGGGGAATCCTGACAAATTAGATGTAGTCATTATTGGGCTCGACCAAGATGGGGTGGCCCTAATCTGGAGACGACGTGCATCTGGTAACGTCCTAGTAGATTCCTTGAGCTGCGAGAGGGCATGCGTGAGTGTTGCACACTCCCACAATATTATAAGGGCATCCGATATTTATAACATAATGATGCCAACATGATGCATATAAATATATGTATATGTATATATACATGTGTGTGTCAATATATACATATATATGCCCATCTAGAAAAAAAATTTTATGAATGCAATGTTATCCCCATTCCCCATTAGTGAAGCCTAAGCGCAGCTATAAAAAAGAAGAAAAAATAAGAAGGCATTCAAAGGGAGGGAAGAATGCTATCCCATAACTATGCAGTTGATATGGAATTAGGCTTCATGACACAATTACTAGTAAGGCCAAGTGTTTCCACCAATATAACACTTTTTATTTTACTTTTCTTGTGGTTGAAACACTAATGTACTTATCTGAATTAATTTTAATTGTTGATGTTGTGCCATCGAATGGTTGTGCAATGATGTAATGGTTAATATTTTATGTTATGAATTTTAGTGGACTTTTTATTTTAACTATATCAGTTGAGTTATGTATATTATAGCTTAATATGATTGTAACATTATCCAAGTCTAGTCCAAACTTTATTAAAATCTCAAGAGAGGCTTTCCTAAGTGGTAAGTCAAATCAATTTGATTTTTCTTGAACTTAATTTAAGAAGAAGAAGAATTCAAATAACATTCAGAGCAATATTTAAATATACCTCAAAATTTTCAAGAATAGGATGAACATCTTGTTCTAATATTTTTTTCTTGATTATTCCATATTATTCATATCAATATTAGTTGTGGTCAACTTAAATATATACTCACCGGTAAAATTAAGTATATTTTAATTTTAAATTCTATATTAATAAATTAATTTTAAATAACAATAATTTTATCATTCTCTCGCCAAAATAAATACTAGCATCGTTATTCTTTTGAAAGAAGAGTCACACTACTCCATAAAATCAGTACTCCCTTAGAGAGGAAAAAAATATTACATTAGTACTACACACGTAGAGTAACATGCGTAGCCAATAAAATCACGCCCCACGCGATAGGAAAAAAAAAACGGTGTAGTAATACGGGGAATATTCCCCTCGTGTTATTCATACGTTCTTGTGTATTATTCATGTGTTGTTGTGTCATGAGAATATTTTTGGTGATATAATAACACAATAACACATCAATAACACACAATAATACTTGAATAACACGGGAGGAATATTTCCCCGTGTTACTACGATATTTTTTCTCTGTCGGGAGTATTCCCCCGTATCAATAACACACAATAACACTTGAATAACACGGGAAGAATATTCCCCCGTGTTACTACGATATTTTTTCTCTGTCCGGAGTATTCCCCCGTGTTATTTTGGTGTTATTGTGTGTTATTCATGCATTATTGTGTCATCAGAATATTCATGAAGTTATAATAACATAATAACACATCAGTAATACAGGAATAACACACAATAATGGTGTTATTGTGTGTTATTCATGCATTATTGTGTCCTCAGAATATTCATGAAATTATAATAACATAATAATACATCGTAATACAGGAATAACACACAATAACACATTAATAATACAAAAAAAAAAAAAAAAAAAATCCGTGCATCTTTTTTTTTTTTTCGTAATTTTATTGGCCATGCAGTTACTGATGTGTAATATTTTTTGCTGAGAGAGAGCCATTCGGATTCGATCGCCCTCGCGATTCCCTACAATGGCTGCGCTTTTTCACCCCAACGCCCCCCCTCCCGCCGTTCGCACTCATCTCAAGCCTACCTCCGCCGCAGCAAGGCCGCCGGTGATTCTAAGCCCCGTCGACCTTTCGACCGTGGAGAAACGAAAACTTCCGGTGCTTCTCTTCGATGTTATGGACACTATCGTCCGCGATCCATTTTACTACGACATTCCCACGTTCTTCAAGTACACTTTTTGATCACTGTTAATCGCGATCAGATGTCTTCAAATTATTTTCTTATTTTGCATGCTTTTTCAAGTAGAGGGCTACTTTGGCCTTTTTTTTTTATCCCTAAGGTTTTTGGTCTACCTTTTTTTTTTCTGATATCGAGGGATAAATATGAAAATACATGCTGAGAAGCAACCTTCTCTCATTCAATCACTATATCCTGGATTATTTCTCAGAATTTATATAGTCTCTATATTTATATAAATATTTTTTGAAGAACCATATCCTGAATCATTTCACAGGATTTTAATAAGTTCTATATTTATATAAATATTTGTAATGTCAATGTCTTTATTCTATCCATTAATATTGTAGATCAAATTTAGAAATTTTCAGTGCAAATATCCTTAAAATCTCCATGTTCTTAAATTTTAATAAAAAGACATTAATCTATCAGCAAATTTTCCAGGAATTTAATTATTACTAACTTTTCAAAAATAAAATACATATTTTTAGTTTTGAACTGGAGTAAAATCATTGCCCATCCGGGCCGACATTCTTAGAGTATTGGTTTTGGCATCAAATATTGGAGATGGTTGACCTTGCAAAACACATATAGTATATCAAATTATGAACCACAAAGATCATGCAAGGCAATGTTTTTAAATATGCAGATATTTCTTTCTACTAGTTCATATTACCAGCTGAGATAATATAGGGCATTTCTATCTTTATTATTAATCTAGGCTAATAAAGCCTTTACAGACTTGCCAAGGGTTGCAATATATTCAGTATTGAAGTTGTCAATGCTAAGAATTTATTAAATGATTGCTGATATTATCAAGGCCTTTTGGAATGATTTGTTTAATATAACAATAGGTTTTGATGTGATCACGACACTAAAGTTTTTTAAATAAGAAGAATATGAATGCATAAGAAATGTATGGGCATGCATATAAATTTTCCAAAGAAATGTTTTTCAAAGATATTGAACATTTTGATGGTCAAGCTGATAGATTGAAGCTCTAAGTTTTTGTTATTCAATATGAAGAAAATAAAATAATATTTTTGTTTATAATGGGAAAAGTTATAAGCTTCAATTAAAATTGTTAATTTTAAGTTGCGGTTATTTCTTTGTTGTAATTGACTACATTACAATAATGATGAGAAATTAAAGACTTATATAGTGTAATTAATGAATTTTCTTCATTTGAAAATGCAATCTACCATGTTCATTGAGATATTCTCTTTTAGAACTGTAGTTGGTGAGAATGGATGGGTAGGAGGTTAAATATTATGAACACATGCTTGCGTGAAATCCAGAAGCTTTGGATCTATACAACAACAACAACTACAATAACAACAATAACAAACATTTGTCCTACTAAGTGTGCTTGAGTGCTTGAATCCTTTTTCTCCATTGTGTCCTATTGAGATCTATGAGATAGAAAAAAGGAACATCTAATGGACATTCTTTGAATTTTTTTTTTGCATGAATAGAAGAAGAAAATTTCTAGGAATGGTGCGTTAGTAATTGATGATAGTTGAAGTTATTTAGGGAAAATAATTTATGAATTTCTACGATCTACTAATAAAAAAAATGAATTGATTTTGTCATCAAGCAAGGGGGCAATATAAGCCATTGAATGCGTTGATTAATATTTTGGTCATTATATCTTCAACTTATTTGTAGAAAATTCATAACCTAACTAGGGCTAAAAAAACTCTCAAATAAAGTGATAGCTTGGCTTCTTTATTCTCACTATCAAAATTTAAAAGTTAAAAAAATTTAGAAGCAGGTATGATAGGATTCAAATATTGATAAAAGTATATCTTGGAAGCTTAATAATAAATTTATAAAATTGGAGTCATATCACTGTTTTTATATGGATTGAAATGTTGAGCCGGACAAACATGATCGACATTTATGTTGTGTGTAGCATAAATAAGTAAATTAAAATGGATGCATGTTAAAATCAGAAGGGTTAAATGAAGAAATGATTATACTAATGGAAGATTTGTAGTGATATTAATCAAAAATAAGTTGACTGATTATAAACTCAAGTGGTCTGTATTTATAACTAAGGCTAAAATATGCATTTGTTAGATGAGTTAATAAATATAGTCTTAGAGGATTAGAAAATTGAAATAATAGATCTAAAGTTATATGGATATAAATTATTTAAAATAATTTGCAAAGATTATATTTAACATCCTAGACAACACCTCGTATGAATGAATTGAAAATGAGGAATTATAAATATGGCTAGTGCTTTGGATGATGATGATATGAATGTGATTTTGATATTTAAAAAAGGGTAAGCTATGCATCCATATTTTCTTTGTTTTGCCTTTTTGCTTGCGTGCAACAAGGGGCAAAGCATGACGATGATGCATAAAACTAGGATTTTGGTTAAACATTATTATAGTGTTGATACAAGCATCTAATTGACAATGCAAATGATTCCAACATTAAAAAAAAGTAATGATACTACAAGCATAAAAAAGTTCCATTAAGATTGAAAAAAAAATTGCAAGCAACTTGTTAATATAAAATATTTTAATGGTTTGTTATAAATTAGTTGGTTCTTGCAATGAGTTTGTGAACATATTTGTAAATTTAGAAAGTACTTGTTGTGGCTTGAGAGGAAGTTGTAAGATCATACTAATTTAAAGGATGAAATTTGGTCATTAATATTCTCTCTAACATAAGAATCAATGGAAGAAGATTGAGATGTTATAATTACTTTAAAGACTATGGCGTAGTGATTTCTCATGAATATATGCCCCCATGATTAAATATTTTCTATATGCAATACTTGAGAGTACATTTGATTAAGAAATATTTTGATTTCCTTATTAAACATGAGTGGATCTTGGCAATAGTCCTAGTAAACGAAGACAAACTCATTTAGTTATCAATCACAAGGGCTCCATGAGGGGGTAAATGAGTGAGACAGCTTGATGACGTCATCATTGTGTTGTGAAATTGTTGGTTTTTTTAATTTGCAAAGATTGGAATGCCCAATGATGGAGGGGGAGTACTCAATACCAATAGACCAAGTAAATAGACCTGTAAAGGAGATTGAGCTTATATTTTTCCAAAACAATCAAGGAAATGTCTAAACTAGGAGAAGGGACACAGTGCTATGTGAACGCCCTCTTATATGCCTAATAACGTGGAATATATATCATGAAGGTTAGCAACAAAACTTATTCCATCAAGTAAGGGATGGCTTTCTGGTTCTTCATAAACATAATTAGAGACTAAATCATTGCTCTATGTAATAAAAAATAAGTTGGTCTATAAGGAGGAAATTTGGGTTTTATAATCTCACCTTATTGGAATGATGACTTGTATGCACATGAGATTTTGCAAGAAAATGTACAACTGTAGAATCATTTCGGATCTTCATGTTGATAGGACTCATAGTTATGTTATATGTGTCTGGGTGTATGCAAAGACTATCACTTGTCAACATAAGTCCAAATTTTGTAACCAAGTACATGGCCGAATGCCATAATATTGCTTTGAATCCAAGTACACAAAGATTCAATCATTATCGTCTCAATCTTTAATTATATTCTCTTGAGCTTTGGCCAATAACACATACACAAAGACATACAAAGAAATTGCTTGTTTTATTTCCCAAATTGGGCAACCATAGTAACCCACCCTTGATATTGCATCAATGTTGCAAAGAGAAAAAGCACGAGTGTTTTAACTGAATAAATCTTAAGTGTTTATAAAGAGTAAGTAGTAATATAATGCAGACTCCAGGTTTGAGGTCTACAAGGAAAGTTGAATCCAAAGGGATGCACTTATGTGGATGAATGCTTGTGAGGTAGGCAAGCTATAAGAGTCAAACTTTGTAGTCTTTCTAGACCACAAGAATCATATTTAATTTTAACTACGAAAACTAGATGATATAAGCCTATGGTTAAATTCACCTAGCTTGGAATCAATCTAGAAAAAATTGAGGAGATTTCAATTCCGTTGAATTTTCCTAAATTGTAACCAGTATGCCTTATAATTGAACATGCTAAATGTGAATGATATATGCTAGGAGCATGAGATGTAGTGATTGGTTTAAAACTTTGGATACTTGGGAGAATTGCGCCAATTAGTTTTTGGTATAAGCCACAAGCCCATCAAATACTACTCTTCAAAGTGAATGAGCCTCATTGATTGGATCTTTAGATAACCTAAATTTATCACCACATTTCTTGCGTCCATGGGTTAGATGCCCTTTTTGAATTGATACCTTAAAACCTAAGGAAAAAAAAAAAAGAACTCGAAGGAGTTGGACCCATCAACAAAATAGGCCCAAAATTGATACCTTAAAACCTAAGGAAAACCTAAGGAAAAAAAAAAAAGAACTCGAAGGAGTTGGACCCATCAACAAAATAGGCCCAAAAATGGCACTCGAGCAACACTAAGAGTGAATGCTTGTGAACCTTGCCTAAATCATGCTATAGGTTTCCGGTTGGATGACTAGCTGTACGCAATGTTGATGACTATGAAGGCGCACGTAAGAGGAAAGCATGAAGGAGAAAAGAGGATAGTACCTTCTACATGGCTTGAATCAAGGATATGGGCAGTTGTGTTCCAATAAGGAACCCAAGAACTAGGAAAATAGAGATGCAAACTCGAGGCACTTGGAAGTTGGGGATTTTGAAGGGAGAAAAGTAGGTTGCTTCATCTACCATGCTAGGGAAGGTTGCACTAAGAGTTGAAAAAGAGAGTAGAAATTGATGTGTCACTCTTTTTGTGAGCCCAAACTAGTTGGAGTGAGGGAGTTTTTTTATAGATATTTTCTTTTGTGTTGTATCAAAATGGAAAGAGTAGAACCAACAAAAGGATTTTGCTTGAGGACATAGGGCCTATATATGATAGGATGAAGTCGGAGGAAATGAGCGCTCAAATCGAGAATGGATATAAAAGAGAGAATTTCTAGCTAGTGTCATTTATAGGAAAATACACAAAAGGTGCTAAAATGACAAATATGCTAGGATTGGTCATCTTTCTCATTAAGGTGCAAGGATGAATTCATTACCCACCATATAGACGAAGCTAGTGGGTTGATGCACAAGCAGATAATTTAACATACAACACAATGAGAAAGGTGCATGCCAATAACTTATGTGTAACATGATAGGACGTGGGCTTGTCAAACAATCTAGGAGTATCCTATAGCTTGCCAAAGTGTTGATTAATTAGATGATAGTATGGCGGGAGGGTTCCACGCTAATAGATAGGGAGTGTTAACAGGTCGTGTGAGTGACAGGTTAAGTTTGTATCAACAATTTAAGGTTGATTTAGTGGGACGAGTGTTTGTGAGTCAGTTATGCATCAATATGTTGTGAAGTTCCTTAGTGGTAAAAAATGTGTTAGTGGGTCAGATGCACATGTGGGCCAAAAGGGCTATCTATTGGTCATATGTGGGTTGATGGGTCAGGGACTTGCCATAGGATCAGATTGGCTAAGGGAATCCCATGGCGTTATAAATGGTGGAAAGAGAGGGCTTATGGTATGAAATTTTATATGGATTTAAATTAACAGATTATTTTGAAACACATGTTTTCTTTTTGAGAGTTTGCTAATTAAACATTCCAATTGTGTTACTTGATTCACTTAAGATAAACACCCATCTATTATCACATAAGGTCTGTAGAAAGAAAAAGATAATCCTAAAACTTTAACCTTTTACAATTGCTTTATTGATTCTGATTCTCAATGTTTGTTGGCTTATTCAGTTGAGTATGTGAAAATCTTCACCATTTCTCTTCTATAACTTTTTTAACTTGCTTTTAGATTTCTTGTTGAGTTAGACAAAATGTCTGCTTGCAGAATGTCTATGAGAGAATTGCTAGAAGAGAAACACCCCACTGCATGGGTTGAGTTTGAGCAGGGTTTGATTGATGAGGTAAGCCTTGAGAGGTTCTGGGACAGAGTTTATGGTTATTTATTTTCGTTCTCATAAGATTCTAACATTTAAACATGTTTTTAGAAAATTATATGCAAGGTTTGTGTTTGCATCATAAAATGCTTAACATTCTATATCTTTCCTTGTCAGACATGATAAGTTGATGTCATTCCTAATCTGTTCATTGAATGGTCCATGGAAGGCCAATGGATTTTTTTTCGTGCTAAGTTGTTGCTGGTGTGGATGTTACTCTCAACCAAGGAAACATAGGTGGGTGAGAGTTTCCTGTTGGTGCAATAGAGGAAATTCAAGCATGCTGTCTTCCTTGTTTTTTCCTAACTTGCATGTTGCAAATTTGGAAGGATATCCTATTTCATGCCTTTCCAAGAAAAGAAACTTTGGGCATGCTCTACATCTGTGCTAGCTAAATAATTAGGATCTGAGGTTAAGGACTTTTCACTGCAGGGGCCGAGCTCAAAATGACTGCAGGATTATGTCATCAACGTTTTATACTAAATCTTTCTTACCCCATTTTTCCCATATTCCCACATTTTCTGTTTTTTTTTCTCTTTTTTATGACTCAGCGTGGCTATAATATTTATATACTAGATAAAATCTCAATATGGTTTTTACCAAGAAATTCTCCACCGAAATTTAACTTATTGTGGGTAAATTGCTTCTGTTGTTTTTAATTTACTTTTCACCGGTTTTAATTTACTTTTCACCGGTTTTTAAAAAGACAGTTTAAATTACCCCTATTCACTCCTTTTCACTGTACTCAACTCCTTGCGCTGTTTCTAGTTTTTAGCTTAGTATAAATTTATGGTTTTTAAAGTCGCGATTTATAGCAAAGAAATGCCATTTGAATATTTAAATTTGTATGTTCGAAAAATGTTGACTGTAGCAGAGATCGGTCGACCGTCTCATTCGGCCGGCCACCCAAGCCAATTGACTGGCCACCTTGCTGAATGGACCCAATAATGAAAATATGCTAGATATACGGGGCAATGACTTGTAACTCTCAGGAGCATAATGACTTATTAACTTCCAGGGGCAATGATGTAATATTCTAGATCCCCCTATGCTTTATAAATAGGAGGATCTTTTTCATGTAAGGGGTGCCAGGGAGGCATCACTCTCCGTTCTCTTGTAATCACTTTTTTAGTGAAATAAAATGAGTATGAGAGCCCGGGGAATACCCCTACTTTGCCCCGCTGGGGGTAATCGTTTTGTCACTTTTTCTTTTCTCTGTTTCTCTCTTGCTCTTTTCCTCTCTCTCGGTTCTTACGCTCTATGCATTGGGCACGATCAACATGACAAATTTAGATCCAACATCTGGTGCGGTGAGCTTCTATTTTGCCGACAACAAGGGGAGGAGCAACACCAAAAAAACTTCTCAGAGAGACACTCCTAACAAAGAATAGACAAAGATTGTGATCTTCAAGAAACTTCTATTTCTGAAAAAGCAAAAATTCAATTCTCCAACTACCAAGTCCTCTGTAAAAGCCACCGCTTGATTGTTGGGTTCGAGCTTCAGATCGCACAGTCCTCCTTCGCATTAAGCATCTGAGAAATTGTTGGTGAAATCAAGGAGAAGCTCCTCGATGCCGCTTTTGTCCTCCCCAACGTCGGGCAAGATCTCTCTCAGCCTTCAAAGACAAAAATCTCTTCTATCTTCACAGACACTAAGGAGAAGGACAACCAATTGGAAGAAACGATCTCCTTCGCATCAGCCGCTGAAGAGATCTAACAAAAGGATTCCATAATGGAAGAAATAGTTTCTAACACCATTGAATCCTCTGCCAAAGAGGCCAAGCAAAAGGCCATCGAAATCGAAGAATCTGCCTTTATTACTTTTAAAATCGCAGCCAACAAAACCAAGCAGAACGCTGCCCAATACCATGAAACTGCAGGCAAAGCCGGC